AAAAGACTACTCCTGATACTACCAAGATTTATTTTCTTACAGGTATTTAGTATGATAACTTTTTTATATCAGAATTACACAGTTTAAACAAAACCCAAGGCATTGTGATCTGTCAGGTATTCATGTATGTATGCACATATATGCACAAGTTTTAATTCTTATCCCTCAATTTTGCATTTGAAAAAATGTCAGGAGGAATTTTTGACATTCCTAGTATGTGGCCACATTCTGAAAAGCTGTGTGCTTTGTATTTTCCAATTAAGACTGAAATCAGACATGTAATCCACCTGCCAGCAAGGAACTGAAACTTGAAAAATCGGGGGTTTGTTGTTTTTGCAATTGTCCTTCTATGTCATTCTGTGTGGCTCCAATTCATCTAGACTGACAACTCAAAACAAAGAGGAATACCAGTGTCAAATAGGTAGTGGAACACATTATCACTTGAGTTTGAGAGAACCCAATTTAAAATTAAAACACTCAAATTTGATCTGTAGATGAACTTTGACTATAGAATACCTTGGCCCACCTAAAAGAGGAATACACAACATTCTCTACAGTCTTGGAAAGTTCATGATGCTCCTTGCCCCTTCAGAAAAGCTTAGGGCTTTACAGGAACATCCTATGTCTTCAGACACATACTGAAAAATTTGGCAATTAAAGAAAAAAGTTTGACTTATTATTGTTGCAGTTTGCTACTTAGTTTGCCGTCTGACACACCACAAACAGAAAGGACACATTGCATTTCTTGTGTACTCCCACCTGTCCATCAAAGTGTGGTATACCTGGTGACTGCAGCATCAGGCCCCCACTTACTTCCTCATTATTCAGTGAAATCTTACCTAAAGGTTTAGTTATAGCACTAGAAATACTAACACCCCCCCCCCCCCCGTTTTTTTTTCTTCATCTGCAGGATGTCAGGAATTTGCATAGACCATTCTTTGAGAAGAAATACTAACGAAACTTAAAATGTCTAGATGTCCAAAAGTACAAAATAAAAGGATCTCGTCATTTGAGGGCTGAAAGGTTTAACATTCAGACTAATATTTCTCTTCTACAGCTAAGGCATCGGATTTCTAATCTGTCAACAGTCTTTTTTTACAAACAAAAAGAGATGTATGCATATTTCTATTCATTTTTAATTATATTTTATAAATTATGATCTGTATATTATTACCTCTGAACTGCAAATATGTAGAACATATAAATAAATATAAAAAAGAGTGAGGCCCTGTTCCCAGAAAAGGCAGTAGAAGGAGAGCCATAAACTTCTATGGGAGAATTAGTAGGCTTCAAAGTAAGTTTGAGCTAAAGGAAGAATTGTGTGGTACCAGGTTAAGTCAGGTACAAAAGAAATGTAATTAAAGTACAAAATGTTAACCTATGCTAGAAAAAAATTTTGAATCTCCAGATTTTACAAGCATTATGTTTTTCAGATTTGAATACCTCAAAAGGAAACAAACAAAAAAAAAGATATGTTGGCAATCTCAACAGATATCTTAGGCTGAACAGAGAATGCAGGATAGGGCTTGGAATATTTATATTGAACAATAATAAATTGTCTGTGCTGGGAAATTCAGCTTGAACTGCAGCTGGAAAGTTTTCTTTCCGCTTTTCTTTTTCTTTTTTTTTCCCTAACTGGTCTGGTTCATCCAGGCCATAGCTGTAATTACCTTCTTCCCATCTACAGCTAATACCTCAGAGCAATAAAAAAATATGAGGGTGTTAAAAATTCAAACGCTAATTATGGGCTGTTATATTTACTAAACACAGCAGAGTAATAACAAAAGTTTCAGCTTCTTGTGGCCAACGCTGCACTATTTGATCTACCAAGTCCCTGGACCCTTTACACTTACTGTATTACATAACAGTTAATAGCGCACTAAAATAAAATTCGATAAACAGATTTATCACCAAACACGTATAGTGCAACCACTTACAGCTGTCTCCTTTTTCCAACAAAGGTATGGCTCTGAAGAGTTCATTCCTTTGTTGATTTTGGTTTTGGTTTCCAATTAAGTTATATACATAGTAAAGCAGTAGGTTTTGTAAAGGGAAGCATGCCCTAATTGAGTACTCCATTTAAAGTCTTATGGCAAATATTGGCTAATCCTACAATTCTTGCTCTTACTTTCCCTTATGCCTGTTCTCAGCTCTAGAAAAAGAATAAAACCGAGAGCTGCCTTAGTTCCTAGTTCAGCATTCACACTGTCACTGCTCCCACCCCTCGCATCCACATTAAACGCACACGGTATAGCTTTATACCACTTAGTAAGAATAGAGGTTTATGGATTTTTGGGGTGTCAAACAGCTGTCACAAACTGTCACCTCCACAAGAGAAACCTTGGCACACAACAAATTAACCTACATTTCTTTTTGGCTATCATTATTCATAGCCAATCAGTTGAAATGCTCCTAGTTATTTCATGTGCAAATAAAATCATGAGGGGAAGACCCCAGGATCAGAATAGTGAGCCAATACATAAAACAGAGGAAACAACATGCTATCTCTGTCCTTCTGAAGTGGCTCATCATCACCCCTGCACCAACTTTCACCAAATGAGATCTAGCCTGAGGCTGTATATTAAATATGCATATCAAAGCAAATGAAAAAATAAACCTAGAGAGTCAGATTGGATAAATTTGCATGCTTGAACTACTGCATTTTCAGGTAGATGTTCACAAATGATAGCTCATTTTTTGATAGTCTTGTGTGTTTATATTAGCAAATTTTTAAAGCTTTTTCTTCCTTATGAATAAAAGTGGATTGCTTCCTGCTGGAACCTTTGTGCAGTACAAATATAAACGTGTACACACATGGTAGTTTGACTAAGCTATAGAGGAGTCTTAAAAGTTTTGTTGGGAAAATAAGCTAATATATATATATATGCATATATAGAAAAATCCAATAAGGAGACAAATTTCCCAAAACGCATGAATAAAATGTAACTATGTGATACAACTCTTCATTTCCCAGTTGGTGTTCTGGTTGCACAAATTATTCCTTCCTTTCAAAACAAATAGCAGGGGGCTAAAGTAAAAACATTACAGCTCAAATCTCCAGGAAATAAAAAGCTTTAAATTATAATACCCAATGAAGTGGTAAACCCTAACGGGTACAAGATAAATGGGTTGTCATATTTATTTGAGCTTGTGTTTTGGGCCACAAAAGCAAGAGGAGATTCTTCTTAAGGAAGATAATAGTTATCAAATCATCAAAATGCTAACCCCCTCCATCCCTGTCCTATCATTGTGTGTGAATTTAAATATTATAATGGAGCACTGCAAACTGGCTTGAGCATTCGCCATCTGCCAGAACCCTAAACGGGCTAGTTTATCTAATCTCTTCAATATAAACATAAGCATGCTCCATTTCTACACTTCCACTTGAAACACACTCTTGTAAAGAAACTGCACTGGAGAAACATGTACTTTTTTTTTTTTCTGTTGCTCTGAGCAATACACAGTGACCCCCTATCTTTCAGGTTGCCACTCATTTCAATTTCTTTTCTAGTACTCTCCCAGAACACTTATGCACAAAAATGTAGGGTTGTAAAATGCCATAAAACAAATATTTCTGAAAGTGTCATGCCTCGTGGAGTTTATTATCTACATGTGAGATAGCTAATCAGCAGAGAAACTTTCAGAAACCTCTGCATACTTCCCCCCACCTCATAATAATAGATTTAAAATGTAAAACATCACAAAAACCTTGTCCTGCCATGTTTACTGAGTACAAATGGGAAAATGAAAGCTAAGGCCTGGGTCCAAAAATATTTCCTGGACTCTGTAACTATGCTGTGCTAGGAGCAGGGCATATAGAAGAATTTATTATTATCTCCCAATTCAGCCTCAGTCCAGGACTAATGTAATTATCAAATATGCACACAAACAACATGTTTCCAAAGGAAACAAAAGCTCCTGGAAAGCTCACTCTCTCCCTGGGCTCACAGCTACTCTTAACACACTGGGAAATGAAGGCAGGCGCCTGTGCAGAAAGCATGGTTAACTTCGCACTGGGTGTTAAATTAATATTTCAACCACTAAAATATTAGACTGTATCTTTTAGATTATGAGTTCAACTGAACCTAAAACTGTGTAAACCCCTTTCCCCCCCAGGGATGCATTCCTATAAATAAACTAGAGTTCACACCCACTCTTTTTAACCAAAGCTATTCCTTCCCTTTTCTGCGGTACCAGCTGTAACCTTTCCTTTCACATCCCGAAGACTCTTTGCATCTACATCTCTTGAAGGATCACAAGAGCTGCTCTGAAACCCGGAAAAACAAAGGCACTTTCTATACCACTCACACCAGTGTGCAGTCCTACACACATAACACTAATTCACCAACTCCTAAAGTGTTAAAATCAACCGCTAACCTACAGTTACTCAATCATCATTCTCTCCAGCTTTCTGTAATACATTGTTAATAATTGCTTCATCAAGGTTACTGTCTTTTATTATGAAGATGCTTCAGGCGTTTGGCAATAAGTCCGTATTCTGACAATAAGTTGCTATAAAGCACAAGCATTGGAAACTCTAATGTGCTAACCCCCTTTTTTAATGCAATGTAGTATTGCCAATAATTCTCATCACTTGTCATCCCCACAAGAGGGAGGGGGGGAGCAATCAGCAAACTTTCTCCCTAACTTTCTTCTCTGTTTTTCCTTACATTGCTGCACTGCTTACAGAGTTGGCAAAGAGGAGAAAGCACCGACCTCCACACCAAACCGCAGTTTGCTACCTCCCGAAGCCAAACCAGGAAACTTTACAAACCATTGCAAACTACCTGCTTTGCAGATGGAAACAGAAGGAACCCTTTGCACTTCTACAACCTTACAAAGAGAGAGGGAAGGAAGATGGGATCCCAGCTTACAAGAGGTTAGAGCAGTAATAACAATACTACTAACAGACAACAGCAGCAAAACAATAGAATGAGGAGAGGTCCTTTGAGCAGGTTAAAGTCTTAAAAAAGTGCCATAAGGAAATCAGAAGGACTTACATGGTCGGCTAAATTTGTGGAAGATCCTGAGAGTTCTTCGTGGTCTGATTTGGAGCTGCCATCCCTTTCATCAATAACGAGATCTATTGGCATTTTTCCTTTCAAACAACTAATGTACCGATGGCAGAAGTTATCACACAATTCATGAACCTGAAAACAGTAACAAGAATAATAGTATCAATAGTGGCAAAATATTGGATTGCAACCTTTTTTTTTTTTTTTTTTTTTTTTTTTTTTGCTAGCAAGAACAACCTTCTGACCTACTCAAGTAACTCTAAGGGGCACAATAGTTGAAGGCAAGGAAACAATAGAGAAATTGTTGCAGCATATATTATTCTCTAGAGACTTGCCGCAGCAACAAGTTAAAGAGAGAGTGATAGTGGGCTCAGCCTGGTGTGCAGAGAAAAATCCGATATGATGATAACATCAGTGCGCTGGGAGCTGGACACGGGAGGTTTCTCTGGAGCATACGCAGCCCAGACAGGTACAACGAGTCACTCGGGATGGGATCTCTTTAAACCGGGGCTAAAAAAAGGTCTGAGTGACCGGGAACCCGACAGCGAAGCGACTCGCTGAGGCTGTGGGAACGAGGGAAGAGGAGAGGAAGAGCAGTTCTCGTTCCCTGGCACAGCCCCCTCCCAGCGCCGCGCAGGGGCCCCCTGCCTCTGCGAAACACTTAGCGCCTGCTTGGGGTTCCTATGCCGGCCGGAGCTGGGGAAAGGCAGCAGTGCTTTCACCTCTCTTTTTGTTAAAACACGTTGTTTCCGAGTAGGGAAAAGAGATTCTACTGAGGGAAGGGGTACGACGGGTGGAAAGGGTTTAACAATATTAAATATTAAAATCGCACTGAAAAAAAAAACCAAAAGAAACAACAACAACAACAAAAAGCCAGGCTGTGCATGACTGTCGGGTGTCACATGCTCTGATGGCACAGGTCACACTGTCACACCGCGTTTCCCGTCTCCCCTGGCCATGCTTACAAGTCAGCCCAAACAGTCACGGGTGGGCTGGGGGGGCAAAGAAAGGGAGGACAGGGAGGGAACGGCTTGCCCGCAGCCCACCTTTCATGGCTCTTACCTTTTCTAATTCCAGAAGGTGAAACCTTAGTACTTGTATTGCTTGGATCATCTGCAAGAAAGTTTTGAGCAAGGGGTTAGTTGAGAGACAGGAGCACGGGGTCTGTGCGGAGCTGCGAGCCTGAGGGGGACAGGGGGTGTCAGGGCGCACAGGCATCACCCAGGAGTTTAGCGCATTGGTCACTCTTGAGCAGTTTTGATCAACTTTAACCTATGTACATGATTTTTAACATATTTTTTCCAGGAGCGGTGATTAGTGCTTTATTACAGCAATCCTGTAGAAAATCTCTTCCCCTTTTCCTCGCTCCCTCTCACCGCCCGGCCCTCACTCCTGAGGGGCCGCCAAGAAGTCAAACACACTCTCCCACCCACCCCCCCCCCCCGTCCCCCCGTCCCCGGCCCGCAGGAAAAAGGGAGGGAAAAGGATGAATAGTTTGGCATCTTCTTTACAAGCGGATTTAGACACTTTGAATATTGAAATCATTCACATTAGCAAAAGAATTGCGTTAGAAAGCTCCATCTCTGTCTTCTTAAGCAGTTACTTCCTTCAGTTTAGCTTCCCGTGGCTTTCAAACACAGCTTTGCAATGCATTGGGGCTCGGGAGTTCGCCCTGGCTCACTTTAAAAGTGCAGCTCTTTGAAGACTCTCGACGGCAGCTTTCCACCCCCTCCCCCCCGCATCCCCCTGTCGGCTGCACAGCTCGGGTGCCCGGACGGCGGAGGGCGCTTCCAGGCAGCGGGCGGGAGGGGAGCGGGGCAGGGCAACGCGGGGCAGGGCAACGCAGGGCAGGGCAGGGCAGGGAGGCGAGCAGGCCTTACCAAATTGTCCAACTCTGGATTTGAAGAAAAAAGTGGTTTTTCAGCGCGGACCTGCAAGAATAAGGAAAAGCGGAGTGAATTGCAGCTTCTGTCCTCAGCCCTGTCACTGAATCACTCGAAGGGGGAGAAAAACCCCTGTGATCAAACCAGCCGGGACAGATAAGACCAAGCCCTGACTGGATTCCCCGGAGTCACCCGTGTGTGAGCAGGGCCCGCTCCTCTTCTGCCTGCCCTTGCCACAGGAGCCCCCTCTTCTTGATCTCCTGCCTTTCCCCCGCTCCCTCTGCCTCCAAACCCCGGCAGCAGTTCTATTTGCCCTTTAACGCGGGAGGGCGAGGGCCGGGACTCTCAGCCCGGCATTGTGGAGGGGCTCCCGGCGGAGGAGGATCCGGGCCGGCCGGGTCGGCATCTCCCTCTGACCCCCCCCCCCCCGGGCGGCCGGAGATGGGGCGCAGGGGGCTGGGGAGGGATGAAAGCAGGGGAGCTGCACCATGCGAGTGGCCGGCCTCGCAGGTCGAGGGCCTGAGAAAGGTGCGAGAGTGCTGGGAAGGGCTGGGCGGGGGGAGCGGTGCCGGACCTGCTTGGCGAAGACGGCGATGTCCTCGTTGAAGGAGTCGGAGGAGCAGACGTCCCCGCCGGCCACGCCGGGCTCCCGGGGCGTGCAGGTCGCCAGCTCGCACTTCTCAAAGACCAGAGCTAAGAGGGGGAACAACGGGTGCCTACCGGGCAGTGGCACACAAAGAGAGGGAAGGGGGTGGGGGAGAGGGGGGAAGAAGAGCTCTAATCAACAAGTATTTTTTTTTTGTTTGTTTGTTTTTAAAATGCACGGACACACAGACACGACGGACACACGGACGCAGCCACTCTCTGCAGCCTCTCGGTATCGCTTCGGGCAGGGCAGGGCAGGGGAGAACAACAGTTCGAAATAAAAATGCTAGGTGTGGTGGAGGTTTGAGTTTGGTTTTATTTTCTTTTCCCCTTTTGAAACTGCCGTGGCCGAGCTATATCCCCCGTGCGGTCCCCACGGCTGAGGACAAAAGTGACCTCTCCTCCTAACGCACCAGGCACCAAACCCGCTCCCGCAGGCAACAGCTCAACTGGGAATCTTCCACTTTTTGCCACAGTTTAAAATAACACGAAACCTGGAAGATCCCATCCCTCCCCTCCAGCTATGACCTAAAATGAGAAGCACGGCTAGGCAAACTGCAAACTACTTAATACGTAATTTTATTTTTCAAGGGGCCTGCTAACAAAAATGTGGCGAAGTTTCCTGGCTTAGGAAGCACACCCAAGTAAAATACCAGCTGTCCAGATAAGTGAGCTGGGGAGGGGGCGGAGGGAGGGAGCACTTTGCGAAATATTTTCCCATAGTTGGTGTAGTCAGAAAAAAAATTATCTGCCTGCTAAGTAGTAAGCATGCATTTTGTTTCTTTTCCCCTTTGGTGCCTGATCAAGGCCCCGTGCTCCGTCATAGATGTTACTATCTCTCCCTTTAAGCTCATTTAGTTTTTTTTTTTCTAAAAGGCACTGAAGAGAATCGGTGTCATTGCCCCCAAGCAATGCCTGGCACAGGCTTGAGCTCTGCCGGGTACGTGTTTCTTTTTCCTCGCGTTCTTTCTTTCTTAAATAGAAAACTCAGCTCATTGCCCCCGATGTGTTTATTTCTCCTGTCTCAGGGAAATGCTGCTTGCAAGAAGCGAACCCCTTTTATTCTTAATACCTTCCGCGATGTGAATAGCTCTTTATTTACAGTGTTGGAAGGGTGTTATTATGGCACGGAGGAGAACATCAGAACAACACTTCTCCAACTAAAACCCAGAGCAATGAGAGCTGCCTCTCCTATCTGAACTCTTAACTGGGGCCTTTCCGAGAAAGACTAAAAACACACGGGGGGAAAGAAAGCAAGAGAGGGAAAAAAAAGGCGGGGGGGGGGGGGGGGGGTTGAGAAAAAAAGAGGGGAAAAAAAAAAAAAGACAAAGCAAGACAACGACCCTCCCCCCAGTCCAGCCTCCCTCCCCTAGAGGTCTGCTTTTCCAGGACCCGTTTCCCGCGGGTGTTTGCACCCCAGCTAAAAGCCAGGCTGGGATCGCACTCTTCCTGAAATTGCCGGCAGTGGCAGTGCCACCGCCACCGCGCGGGTCTCCCTGCGGAGCGGACTGCTGGGGGCTACCCGCAGGACCGTCCCTACCCCCCGCCCGGCTCCGGGGCTCGGTTGCCCGCTGCGGCCCCGCTGGAGCCCCCACCACCCGCCCTGCTTCTGCCCCGCCGCTCCGCGGGCACCGGCGCTGCGGAGCCCGGCAGTGGCGCCTGGCGACCCGGAGGCACCTACCCGTAGATCGCATCCTTGTCCCGCTTCAGGGCGTCGTTGACAGCGGAGCCCATGCTGGCCGGCATGACATTGGGGTGCGGGGCGTGAGCGCCGTAGTGCTGCCCGGCGTGGAGCGGCGGGCCATGGTTGAGGTGGTGCACTGGGGGTATCGGCCGGGGGGCGTGGGGGTCCCCGTACATGGAAGCCGGCACCCCTACTCCGTCCATCCCGCCGTAGTGAGGCAGCTCATCGTACTGTCAAAAAACGGGCCGGAAGAGCAGAAAGAAAGAGAAAGAAGGGAAGAGAGAGGGAGAGGGAGAGAGAGAGAGAGGAATAAAAAAACAAACAAACAACAACAACAAAAGTCAGAGGAGAGTAAAGCACCCGGACAGACACAAACAGAGCAAAACAAAACAAGAACAGCCACAACAGAGAGAGAAATGTGCAAAATGAAATCAACTGGGACCGGGAGCAGAGGCTGGAGAGGCTGAGGGAGGAGTGGGGGTGCGGGGAGAGGTGAAGGGGGAAAGTGTGTGTGTGTGTGAGTGCCCTCCCGGGCGTGCGGGGGGAGCCGCTCCTCTTCGCCATGGGCAGGGGAGCCCTCGCAAGGAAACGGGAATGGAAAGGAAGGAAACGGAGGGGAAAAACTAGGGTTACTCTGCGTTAGAAAGGAAGAACAACAACAACAAAAAAGTAGAAATGAATAAACAAGCAGAATTAAAAACAACTATATAAATAAATCAACACTGGGAAGGAGAGAGGAAAGGTAAGGGTGCATGGGGAAGGGGGGAGATGAAGGGGGAAATAATCTGAAAGTTACCAGAAACATTATTTAGTAGCAATTCCCCTTGTCCTTGTCAAAGCCAGAGACAGAGAGAAAAAAAAGAAAAAAAGAAAAAAAAGAAGAAAGCAGCTATATGTGTATACATATATATACGTTCGTATATACACACACACACATATGTATTTCTCAGCCTTTCCTAGGCAGCGGAGGTAGCGGCGGCAGCAGCCTCAGCAAGCTTTCCCCTGTGAAACCCGTGCTACTGAGCAGGCAGGGAGCAGGGAAATCGCGCTGCTGGGGGAAAAGCTAAGAGAGAAAAAAAGCGTGGAACAATTGCAGAGGGAGACACACACAGAGAGACACTCACGCACGCACACAAAAAGCTAGTGAATAATTTTTGCTGCTATTTTTTAATAGTGGCCGCCATCAGCAGCAGCAACAGAGGAGAGCAAATCGGACAGGCCCCTCTTAAGAGAGGATTTATATATAGGTAAGTGTTGGAGATTTAAACCTACCCTTTGCGCCATCAGTCTGCGCTCCAATAAACTCCTGGATGTGTCGTATATTTAATATCCCAGTCCAGCAAAGAAAGTGATTTAGAGTGAAGAAGATTCCTTTTTTTTTTTTTTTTTTTTTCGCAACCCACTTACAGACTTCTCCTATCCTCCAATATGGGTAAATAATAATAATAACAACAATAACAACAACAAGAATAGATAAAAAACAGTCAAGAACCACGATGAGTTTCTGTGTTTTCTTCTTTTTTTCTCTCTCTCTCTTTCCTTTTTCTCTCTCTCTTTTTCCTTTTTTCTTTCTCTACGCGAAAAAAAAAAATAAAAAAATTGTCAAGCCCCCAAACTGAAGGTTACGATCGGCCCGTCAGCAACCCACATGTAACCAAACTGTCGTGTCTCATGGCTTTTTGCCACTCCAGCTGTCAATCAAAGCCAGGGAATGTCAAGGTAGTGAATGAATGATGGTTGACGATGATGAAGAAGAGACGAGGAATCTTTTTAACCCCGGTTTCTTCTTCCAGTAACTCCGCGCTCGGGTTTTGCCTTTTAGGATCGCTATAGGGTTGGTTGGTTGGTTTGTTTTGGGGTTTTTTTTCTTTCTTTCTTTTTTTTTTTTTTTTTTTAAGTACTGTGAAGGGGGGTGGGGAAAGATGCGAAGAAAAATGGAATAGTTTGCAAAGCGCGGACTTCCCCCTCTATCCTTTTTTTTTTTTTTTCCTCCTTTCCTCCTCCTCCTCCTCCTCCCGGCAGGTATTTTGTCTCCCTCTCTCCCTCGCGCTCTGAGATGAGTGAGTGTCAGTAAGTGTTGGCAGGTTGGCTGCTGGCTGCCTTATAGAAGAGGCTCAGTTTTGCAGCGCTGATCGGCGGGAGAATGAAGTGACGGAACCCGGAAGTAGTGGTGGCCATAGCCAGTCCTGCAGCGCGGCGGCGGCGGCGGCGGGGAGCGGCGGCGGGGAGCGGCGGCGGCGGCGGCGGCGGCGGCGGGGAGCGGCGGGCGCGGCGGCGGGCGCGGGGCGGCGGGCGCGGGGCGGCGGGGGCGCCCCAGCCAGCTGAGCGCCGGGGATGCGCAGCGCGCCGGCGGGGCGGCCGCGGCGCCGCGCGGGGGGAGCCGCGCAGCAGCCCCTGCCCCGAGAGAAGCAACGCGTGTAGGAAGGAGCGAGCGAGCGTGCGAGCGAGAGAGAGGGAGGGAGGGAGGGAGCGGGGAGGGAGGGAGCGAGAGAGGGAGGGAGGGAGGGAGCGAGGGAGGGAGGGGAGGAAAGACAGGGAGAGTGCGTGTGTGCGAGAGGGGGGAGAGGCAGGGGAAAACTGGAGAGAGCGAGAAGAAAAGTGCGATAGAAGCCCAGCCCCGGGTTGGTTTGCGCTAGATTATTTTAGTAACCAAATACTTTCCGATTACCCGCGATGTTTAGCTGTCTGATTTACGCGCTGAATTATCGGTGTAAATCGCCGGCTGTCGCCGTTGTCGCGGAGGGGACGCGAGGCCAGGGGCACGGAGGGCTACGGGGCGCGGGGGGGGTCGTCCCCGGGAGGCAAGCCCGCCCCGGCCGGGCGCCCGCAGCTCCGGCAGCGCCCGCGCTACCAGAGGGGGTCCTGCCCGCTCACCATTCACTGTGCTTCTCTAAAAATTAATTTTCCAGGGCATGAAGAGAACGGCTCATTCAAACCGTGTTTGGCACCGCTCTTCCTTAAGTGATCGCTGCGATCAAGCACGCTGTGGATGTAGGGAGAGAGAAGGGGGGGGGGGAAGGGGGAAATCCCTTTTAGTTTTGAGATTAGGTTGCCAGGCTTTGAAAAGGGCTTAAAACCAAAGTCATGCTCAGCCTTTTGTGGGAGAGATCCAGATGTTCTGTAGATTTTTTTTTTTGTTTGCATGTTCATTTTGAGCGGACCCGGCTGTGCGCGCTGCGTTTACGTGTGCATGTATCTGGACTTTGCCGTAGATCGACGTTGCGCTTGTGGAATGTCTGCTGAAGTATTAGCTCGGTAATGCCTTCTAATGGTAGTGCTAATTACGGTGGGGTTATTTAGCAAATTAAGTGAGCTGATGCACCCCCCACCCATGAGCACCAAATGAACTTTTCCAAGCACACACTCACACACAGAGACACGTTAATTTTGGTGTGTTTCTCTCACCCAATCGCTTTGCCGGAGCTACCCCAGCCTTACCTCAGAGCAGTCAATTACTAAAGCTGGCCAGGATCATCAATCATGGGGGATGCTTGAAGTTTAGGGGAGGAGCGATGGTCAAACTATCGATTGCTGCAGTTTTGTCCTCCCCAGCCCCCCACCCTCGTTCACGGTCCCCTGCACATAAAATCTAAACCAGACTATCCCGTTAATAGTGGGATTTATCAATGATTATGTACCCGGTTGTGAATGTGGCCTCATACATAGCTGGCTTTTAAAATACACGTGAGAAAAATATTGTTTATTCAGTTAGGTTTTGGTTTAGTTTGCTTTGATTTTCGTGGTGATGACGATGATTATAAGATGATTTTTTTTTTCCTGAAACTTTAAGAAAATGACTCAAGGGGTAGTTACAGATATTTGGCCTGATTTTAATAGGCGTAGGGAATGAGCTCCAGAGGTCAATAAACCCCTCCAAAATGATGAATGATTGAGTACCTGTGATGATGATAGTGATTACCGGAGCAATTAAACAGTTTGATTAAATGAGCCATCATAACAATGATGTCTGCGGGAAATCAGCCCTCACATATAAAGAAAGATAGTGTGAAGCGCTGACAAACGCCAGTGGGCATTCCTGCGTGTTCTGATAGTGCCGAGCCCTGCAGAGCAGAGCAGGGCTGTATTTACAAATATGGGGGCAATACGGAGAAAAGTCCTTCTACTTTTAGCCAGAATTGCACCGTGCTTAAAACCAGACAGGAGCCGGGGAGCTTTTTTTTTTTTTTTTTTTTTTTTTTTAATATCTTTTTTTTCCAGAGGATCTCCTCCAAGATTAAAGCTAGTCCTAAGAGCAACCGAATTGCTGTGACTGACTTTCATGGGACTGTAAAGAGAGGTGAGTAAAAAAGCCCTTAGTATGTAGATCTCTTTCAAGCAGTGGTTAAGTCGATTCATTTCGCAGGGAAGAAGCCAGTCTTCTTGTGCAGTATTTTATACTCTGTCGTATAAATCGGTAACGTAATTCAAGATATTCATGGTAATGAATGCTTGGCTAATCCTTTGGGTGCACGGAGACCTACAGAGCAGTAGGCTATGCAAATCCGTTCCTACTTTTACAGCTGTAGTTTTCTAACAGATTTTTTTTTAAGAGATCTAGTCATCCATCGGTGAATGCTATTTGGTTTTTTTTCCTTCTCCCCACCCCACCCCAAAGATGCCAGATTTCTAAATTTGTGTGGAATCACTTGGTTCTTATACAGCCCATACAGCCAGCTTAGAGGACGTAGCTTAAATATTTGTAGCTTCCAAACTTGTTTTTTTAACCGAGGCAGTGCAAACCTGGAGCCTTGCCTCTTGAGATATGCAAGTGTGTCTCTTTTCAAATAGTTTTAGTATCACCAAAGAATAGGTCTTTACTTGTAATGTGGCCGTGCAAAAGTAATCTAGCTCCACTGAAGGCTCCATGTATTTGTTCAGACCTCAAGCTGTGGGAGAAGTTCATCAGTTTTCCTTTCAAAAAGAAGTTTTTAGATTACTTGACTCCCATAGGAAAAAAAAAAAAAGGAAAAAAAAAAAACAAAACAAAAAACCACTTCCTTGTCTAGGGTATAATCTTAGACTTGATTTTTGTTTATTTCATGATTGTCACCAAAGTCCCTGTAGATCTCGGTTCTCTTAACTGAGAAATTGTTAGAAAGCAATCTAAAATCAAAGCTGCAAAAGAAGCAGCCAAAGATTTTTTCAGTGTTCAGTGCTGCTCCTTTCACTTGTTTCTTTTTTTTTTTTTTTTTTTTTATTTCTTTCTTTTTCCCCTCCTAAACTAATTAACCCCCTGCGCTGGCTCGCCCTGCTGTGCATGTGTGTAATCTGGGACAGAGACCAACTTTAAAAAATTATTTTAACCTGTAGAAAAGTGTAATTTCATACGGTAAATAAAGGGCTTTCATGTTCCTCCTGTGTCTTTTTTTTTTCTTTTTTTTTTTTTTCCCCGTGAAAAGAGTTGGAGCTTTTTTTCCTCTTCACTATCCCAGTGGATTAATGCACACAGAGAACATGGTTTATAAAGAGCTACAGTTTAGCCATTAAAAAGGAATCTCAATTTAGCGCCCTTAAGTGAAAGTGCTCAGCTATTAACAAAGATGCTGTTGGGAACTCGGAGGAAAATGGGATACGTGCGTGCAGGGGGTGCGGGCTACCACAGTCTTAGGTCATTTTTTATTTACTTTTTTTTCCCCCTTTCCCCCAGCCGGGTAATATACTTCTTTTAAAACAGTAATTCGAGAAAATTAAATTGGCTATTTTCCATTCCTCGTGCATCAGTTTCACAGCGAAGGCTGTTTCCAGGAAGAGTGCTATGGACGAGTCGGTGGGGTCTCTGTGTGTGTGCTTGGGCTTTTTTTTTTCCTTCCCCCCCCCCCCCTTTTTTTTTTTTAAGATCAGCTCAAAGTCCAAAGAGAAATGAGGTGTCCGGTATGGAAGTGCATCTCAGTCAACAGCCAGCTCCTTTTGCCGAGGCTGGAAATGGTTTTAACAGGCGGTAAAATTTCATCTTGTGGTGTCAAATTGGGGTCAGTTTGGGGTTAGCGCTCTCAGTGTCCGAGCAGGAGCTGTCCAGCTGTGTGGGGATTCATTAAGGGCAAAAGATCCGTTTCAAGAAAAACAATACAAAGACAATCAGAGGGCTAAAGATCCTCTTCAAATCGCATTTTACAAGTGCACCAGAACAAATATGGATGCTGAAACCTATTCCCTTCAAACTCCTAAATCGGCTTCTTAGCCCTTGGAGGGAGGGAGAGAGAAAATCCTCTAAAACTTAAGAAGAGTCTGTTTTCAATCAGCCTTTCCGAAGTGTGGCATCTTAGTCCTTTGCTGGCTTTGAGACGTGCCTCCCTCTCTCCCTCCCTCTCTTTTTCCACAGCCTTGCAAAAGCGGATGGCACAACAGGTAATATTTCAGATTTCAGGAATATATGCCGCCGGGGACCTTGGACCGCTGTTTGGTACGCGCGTCTGCGCCTAGCGCAAAATTTAGTGCAAATAGAAAGTTTCGTGTGGGCTTGTTTCTTTCTTTTTTCTTCTTCTTTTTTTTTTTTTTTTTTTTTTCCGGGGGGGGGTTGTGGGGTGTGGGGAGAATGGGGAGTAAGGAGCAAGCCATGCTTGCAGGAAATCCTGTTGGCCCCCTTCGGAAATTTTCTGCACTCCTTGTAGGTGATGCTCCGGTCTGACGAGCAATTTAGGCTAGATTTACTTTACTGTTCCTAGCATTTGTGGAAAGCACCTATTGCTAATCTGGTTTATTAAATTCGCGTGGTTTAAATCCTCTTAGCACCCTACATCTGTTAGAACAATTGACGCCTTGCTACAGGGACAAATAACTTGAACCTTAATCTTGTTTGTAACTTTATTCAATGTTTGTTTGTTTGTGCGCTGAGTTCAAGTATTTCGGGGGGAATGCCATTGTGTTCGCAAACACAGGGGCTACATTTGCTGGCCAAGCTCCCCGCGGACGGGCTAAGAATATCGCGGAACGGGACGACAAATTGTACATATTTGAACCGGCTTTTCATCTTGAACTATCGTTCTAGGAAACGTGTCATTTACTGAAGTAATCTGCCTTTTAAAATGTGGCTGCGGGATTACATCACCCTGACCCCGTAGTAAAATCCACGGGGATTTTCCTTCTTGTTTTGCTCGCAGGGCGAAATGTGGGGTGTAAACAGTACCTTTTCCTTTCTATAATTAGGATTATGCCAGGGTTCTAACTCCTACCCCCAAATTCGTTCTCTACCACACCTTCCTCTGCCTTTACGCTTGGTTCTTACAACTTGAGTCACTTTTTATGCGTTTTAGCCACGTTGAGTCCTCGATTTCGGGACTTTTGAGGTGCCATCTCGGGTGCCCCAGGGCAATCCCGCAGTCTCGGTTGTGCAGGTCGCTGGGTTAGGTCTGCACCCTCCTCGGTCCGCTAAACTACCCCCCCCCCCCCCCCCCGCCCACCCGATAGTGTACGTCGCTTTTCACTCATCTATAATTTTTCTAAAATCTTTCAATTCAGTCCGTAAAGTCAGTGGTAGCCCATCACGGTGAACTTTTCTTGACCTCGACTGCGGTGTGACTGAGATCTTCGGGAGCTGGATTAGGAGATTCATGGATTTACCTGCTAACTTCCTTTTTAACTCTCTTTCTTCCACCCCTCCCTCTTCTTTTAAAGAAAAAAACTCTCCTCAACTCCCCCAAGCAAGCAGGAGCGATGCGAGGTCCACCTGCCCCTGCCCCGCCGTGTCCCCGCTGGGTGCGGATCTCAGACCGCCTCTGCCGGCTTCCCGGCGAGATGCGGCGGTGCCACCGGCAGCCCTCTAGCGCTACCTGGCGGGGCTCCAGCACCATCCCGTTGCCGCGCAAGGCCCCGGCCCCCGCGCGGTAGCGGGGGCGCGGGGCGGTGCGGTCAGTGCGGAGCACTGTGGAAGGCTTTGCTCCTCAGCCTCCCGCGGGACTCCGGGCGCTAGGTTTGGCGTCGCCTCCTCCCCGCGTCCCATCGAGCGAGCGGGCTGAGGGGCCGCGGAGGGAAAGGGAACAGAGGGACCTCTTCTCCTTGGGCCGGGTTATCTCACGCTGGTGCGTGTGAAGAGCTGATATCAGACCAGAACGAGGCTTTTTTTATTATGTCTTAGGCTGGGGGAGTTTGTAGAAGTGAAGCCCATAAACAACCATCGCGCCTGTTTCCATCATATACCAGGGAGAGTAAAATACCTGCCAGGGCTCCCCACTAACGCTGTGCGGCTGCTTCCACCGGAGCAGCTAAAAACCTAGTTTGCATTTGCGGGAAGAAGCCCAAAGCGTTAACAAAATCCATCTTTCCAATGTGACATCCTAACAAAAAGGACAGTTAGGGCAAACTAAATGGCTTTAGTGCAGTATCAAGAGGATTCGCAAAGGCTCCAAACTCCTCTCAGAGCTCTGTTCTTGCACACTCAAAATATTCCCTTTTGTTCTCCAGCTGCCTATAAAACTCCAGAAGAGGAGAGCTCTTCTTTTTACGCTGGAATTCTCGGTCCGGAGAGAACAATATCCTCCTACCTCCTTTTGAAATGGTACGGAGACCCTCACAACACACAGGCGAGCACTCCAAGTACGAGTCTCCCTCTTTTTTTTTTTTTTTCCCCCGATTTTTTCCCCGAATAGCTGCGCGGCCCATTGTTTGAAGCACGCAGCCCAAAGGGAAAAAGAAAAACAAAACAACAACAAACAAACCAAAAAAAAACCCCAAGAATCTAAGGAGCCCGGTTTGGTATTGCACGGAGAAAGAGCTGGCAAAATATTGCAGCTCGTCTCCTAGAAGGACGTGAGACGTGATGGGAGCCGGTGGTGTGTTTCCGAAAGAAAGGTGGTTTTTTTTGTGTTTGGGTTTGGGTCGTCCCTCCCGTCCCTTCCCCCCCCCCCCCCCCCCGATTGTGATCGCCTTTGTACGTCTTTCTTTTGATCCCACAAAGAGAATGCCATATCCATATATGTGTTTGCTCTCCATACAAGAAATGCAAAGGACCGCACAATGGAATATGCGGCCGGTTAGTCCTCATAATGCTTAGTTTTGCTGTAATTAATTGAAAACAGTTATTAGGTCGTCATTGGCAATAGCATAAATAATTGCAGCAGATTTTTACTTAAAATTGACCGGTCACAGAGTGATAGATCGATTCGAGGTATAAAAATGATGTATCAAAACATCAATGTCGATTATTTGAAATATTGTAGTCGAATCTTTTTATTGCTTCATCGGTTAAGTGTCTGAAAGTGCTGTGTTCCAACATATATTTATGTTGTCAATACTGTCAAAACTGTCAGTTTTATTACAGTGGATTTGTAATACATTTTGGATTTGCTCATTTACATAAAATGTCCACCCCAGATACCCCTCCTTTTCTCCATCTCTGGAAATCTATGTCAGTTTAATGAAAGGATTCAGGACTCATACCTGAAGAAAAAGAAAAAAAATAAAAAAAAAAAAAAGAAGAAAAGAAGAAAAAGAAGAAAGAAAGAAAAAAAAAGGTGGAGATATTGCTCCATTAAGTCCAACTTAAACCTTCCTTTGGAAAACTTGGGCTATTTCTAACCTGCCATAAGAGGGAATTCCCTCCCCCCCCCCCCCGTCCCGCTCCTCTTTATTTCCTCAGTAGGATTTAAACACTTTCCTACCCTCACACCTAGATGAAACCCTTCGGGAGGATTGAGGACCTGTGCGGGGAGAAAGCAGAGCCCCAGCCCACCTGCGAGTGCGGAACCCTCCCAGAGAGCCGCAGCGCACACGCGGAGCTTCGTCCCTCTAGAAAGAAGGAGACAAAAGCAGCAGTAAACGTGTGTGTGATCCTTCCTTAAAGGGTTGAAGCCCAAAGGAAAAAGCAAATTGGACTCAGTATTGGGCATTTGATGTGACCCTCCCCCCCCGGCCCCCCTTTTATCAGGGTCTGATTATTCGCTTTAACTGTAAGCACTGATTTATTATTAGCTGGGCTTAGACACCTCTCTAATTTTCTCCAAAACCTCATTTGAAGGATAGAAAAACTGAGGAATAAATAAATCCATTTACACTCTAAACACTCTTCCATAGAACAAACAGTGAAATTGGAAAAGTAACTTTATTCCTCACCCCTGTAGGGAGGATGAGGGTATTTTAAAGGCGTTGGTAAGGTGGACCTGAGGTGTGTGGGGGGGCCTGTCTTCTTCCTTTTTTTCTTTGGTTTTTTTTTTTTTTTCCCCTTTCCCCCAGCGATATGTGTGTTTAAAGAGATGTTGAAGAGATTTCTGAGTTCACGAGGAAGAAGGAGAGGTCTGTTTGGGGAATGACAGCGCTCCCGTCAGGTATTTTAGTGACCGTCCCTTCCTTTAAACACTTCGAATGTCTCTGGTTCTTTCCATGCAGAATATCTTCCCCAGACCAAATAGGATTTCTGTTATACTTCGTGTGTGTGTGTTTGTGATCCCTTCTGAAGTAAATTGAGAAGTAAGCTGCGCAAAAGGAGGAAATCGCCCCTGGGGTGCTTTGTTTACTTTGGTTTGTAAAATCCTGCTAGGAGATGGTTTCCTCAGTGCGTGGCAAGTGTTTCTTCAAGAAATTCATCAGCCCTTCTACAATTACTTCGAGCTCTGAAGGAAGAGAGCTGCCATCACTTTCTCACATCCCAAGGTGTTGTATGGAGGAGAGAAGAAAAGGCTGGAGCATTTAATTATGAGGGGGGGGAGGTTGAGGGGTAGAGGAGGCTGCAGAAAGCGGCCCCGAGCCTGTACCTGGAAAAGGAAAACCTGCAAGGGTGTATCTGGGAGATGTGTGCCACTGAGAGATGGGGAAAGTACCCCATCTCGTGCAGTAATTAGTCTGAACAATAAACATAATTGGAACAAAATCAGTTGGAAATTCCTGCGTTTTTAATTACGTTTCATTTTGTGGTAAGCCGTAAAATTATGAATGCCTCTCAATTAAACACTATCCACTTGTAAAGCATTTAACAACAATTATTCCTTAATCAGTTGGAATGTTAGCCACAAATGATGCTGTTAAACATCAAAGGGACGCCTTAGACGTTACCTTTTAGTCATAAGTAAGAGGATTAATTTCTATAATTAGAGGGGATAAATATGTGCATAAATAAATCTAATTTTTTTACACGTTCTCATCCTACCCGGGAGAGGCGAGGGTCCTTGACATCGCCGTCACTTCTGGCTCTCCCCCGGCTCAGAGGAGGCGACCCGGTCTCAGAGAGGTGAGAGCACCTCTCCGGGGAGGTCCGATCCTGCACCTCGCTCCGCGCCTCTTTGCGCCTCTCTGCAGGCACCGGTAAGGCAAGCGTTCCTGCTGCTGCGCACGGCCTGGGGCTCGGGCCCGCCGCAGGCAGGGGGCTTCGGGAGGAATACGCTGGCCTCCTTGGCATGTATTTACCCCTTCTTGCGGCACCTGGGGTCTACTTGGTGGTTCGGCTCCCTCGGGGACAATTTGCCGCCCCAAAAAAGAAGCTCCAGATTTGAGCTGAATACCGCAAATAAAATTAACATGACCTTGATTACACTCTGCATGAATATCTCATTTACCTAATGACTTTATGTCACGTACGCAGAGGGTCAATTTCCTTTTAACCTTTCCCATCGCTGCAGTAAGCATTCTTTTATAATCAATGGTTGTTTGAATAATCAATTCACGTTTTATGATCCCTGACAAACTCAATATCTGTGTGCCTCGTTTCAGCAAAGCAGCCAGCCCTTCTCCGCGCCGGTTTCGGGTCCGAAGAGTTTGAGGCGGGCTTTCCGGGCTGCCCGGGGAGCCTCCCCTGGCCGCGCAGGGCAGCAGCGACCGGGCTCTGCTGGGGACTGCGCTTCCCGCCCCGCTCCGCCGCCGCGGGGGCTTCGTGCATAGGCCCTGCCCCCAAGAGAGGATGCGCCTCAGCACGGAGGCGCAGGCTTGAGGAGGCACGGCGCCGGCCGGCAGCCCTTCGCATCTCTCCAGAGCTGGACATGCACTTTCCAAGTTTTCCCAATCGCTGGGAGCAAAATATGAGGTTTTCCCACTCCCCCCCCTCCTACCCGTCCCGCCTGGTCTCCATCCTGGGAATGTGCACAGCAGAGCCCGAGCGCCAGGAACCGTTCCCCCTTTCTGCATTTGCCGGGCCAAGCGGACGTGGGGGAACGAAGTTCCCCCGGCTCTGAAGGCGGAGACCGCCTCCCTAAAGGTTTTGGGGGAAAAGTTGTGTCCGAGGCCGCGTCGGCACACGGGGAGACCTTGAATGAGTCTTTGCGTTAGAGTAACTGTCACGCTGATTGAGGTCCGCGACTCCCTCATGGCCACCAGCCCCTTTGTCGCCTCTCCCAGCCGACTCCAAACTGAGGGTAGGGAAACTTGCCCCCCGCACCACTCGAGTGCAGCAGAGTACAAGGGAGGGGAAGGGGTTAGGGCAAGGTGAACTTTGCAAATGTTTTTTCTAGAAGTAGCTCACATATGGTGTGATCTATGGTGTGAGTCAGGAACGGAGACTTATTGCAACCCTGTTCCCTCTATTGGATAATTAATGCTGATTCATAGCGGTTTCTACCTACGAATGTGTGTTTCGTTTTTTTTCTGCCGGGTCCATGGTTCTTTGGTATGTTGTTATTCCCTGAAAGGTAATTGCACTTGATATTCTCTCGGGGAAGGCTCATTAGCCAAGGGCAGGGTGGCGTTGCCAATCTCAGATTCTTTCAACAATTCAATGCAAACATTTGCCCCAAAGGTTTAGTACAGCCCTCCCAGCTCACAGAACAGCCATTGGATACAGCATTTCCCCTAAGAAGTCTTAGGTCTATAAAGAAGTACATATGTATGTGTGTGTGTATATATATATATATATATGAAATATATACTTTTTTTCCTACCCAAGCAGGATACATTTTAATTTCGGTTTTACTTATTTTAACCCCTCACTGTAAGTGATCTAAGCTACACAAGAAAATTAAATGTGTTGCCTTGGACTGCAGAACTTTGCCCTCCCTGTTACTAGAAGACAATCAGGACACAATCATGGATGAAGGATTAGAAAAGGCACCACATCTCCTTCTCCTCTGTATGCATTCCTCTACACTGTTTTAAGATTTACAAAATGCGTGTTGAAAACACTTATCCACTGCCCACCATTGCAGACCTACACTTGCCTTCTTTCTCACACATGCCTGCTGTCATCTCTTTGGCTCCTTTCATCTCTCCTGCTAAATTAATTACCTCACTAATGCAAGGCAATGAGACTCAGGTATAATGTAAGTCAGGGAAAATACATTACTTGATATATATTATTATATGAAGGTGAATCCTCCATGATTATTCTTACTTTATTTTTTTCTCTCTGTTGTTCATAATTTTGAAAATCTTATTCTATTTGGGTCTTGGTAGGTTGAACAGGATGATTCACAGTAGCATTGCAGAGAAGATCCAGTTCTCAAGGGAGAAAACGGTTCCTACAAGACTGATGAAGAGGAAGCAGAGGGACAACACTAGTCATAACATGTTCTTCGACATCACCAGGTTTTCCATGTTAGAATAAAAAAATCGGTATCTGTATTCATGGTGAATTAGATGGTATATTCTCCCTGGTAGTGGTGTTAAAGGGTAGAGGCTGCTCTGAATTCTAAACAACAAACTCTGGGTCTAAATTGTATATCTAACTGTCTTACTGTGTTTACATATTTCCACTCACCATGTTTTTCCCATCACAGTTAGCCAATAAACTCAAACAGCAAATCTCATCTGTGCTGTACCACCACTGACTGTAATGTTAGTACATTAGAAAGGAAATTGTCCTATATCATGACACTGCGTAACAAAGTAGGTCCAAAACTCTAGACCCTGAGATGCTACCAGTTTTAATCCTTGCTCATAAGAAAGGCTGCCAGGGTCTATAGGCCTCATCTCTTAGGGGGACCAAAAGTTCATAGAAAAACACCTCAGTGCTGTGAATCTCTGTTAACAATGTTTTATATGCTGACAGCCTTCAACATCTTCAAGCCTAAATCTCTGTCCCAAGGTCCCATTTGACTGAAGGAGAACGTGAACTGAGGACACAGTGTGGGATTCTGCAGGGTAGTTTTGCAGGATGCCAAGTCTGCCTGTGCAAAGTAGACAGCTTTCCAGGTCCTACTGATAGTAATTGTGAACAGTCACAACCCTTGCAGTAAGCTCTTAGCACAAGAAAACATCAGTTCTTTAATTCGTACTTTTGTTATTCACAGCTATGGGGTTTTTTTGACACTTTAAGTATCTCTCATGTCATGGTGGTACATTCGGCTTTTTCAAAAGCGTTTTTCAAAATGAACAGGCTTTTCAGTAATGAAACATGATCAAGTTGCTCTTCTAATAGATTTCTTTTTTCAAGTACATGCTAAATTTACAACGTCTCATGCATTTGTTAACCATCACTAATAGTTCTATTGATCAATAACATAAATAGCTCTAGCAGAAGCTTTTTTTTTTAAGTAGATGAACATAAACAGCATTGAAAAAATAGCACACAAGTCATTGTCCTGTACTCTTACCTTGAGGCTGTATTACGATCGCAGTAAGACATATCTAGGCATGTGTCATACCGGATAACATTATTTCTCGGGTGTATGAGGGCACATGACTTTACCTTGGACTTCACAACAGCTGAGACATGCCATTTAAAAGCATGGTCCTGGCATTACTAACCTACTAATATATAATTATTAATGCATACATGAGATACTTTTAAAAAATTGTTTCACATTAAATACTTGTATCATTTTATTTCTATTATTCACGTGCAAAGCTAAAAATAAACATTTGCAATATTTTTCTCTTTTATGGAAGAGCTGAAAAACTATTCATTTGAAATGACCTCTTGGGTGAACACAGCCATATTTTCTGGGCTTGGATCTCTTATTCTTGATTGGCAGCTCCACATCAGATCTGGGCAGTACAATGGGTCCTCAGAGGTAGAGTTCTCTTTACTTCAAAATATTCACCAACAATTGCTTAGGCAAACAGTTTCCAGCCTAAGAATCATTCACAATATGTTCAGCTGGGCTTTTCATTTCATTACACTTGATGTGTCACTGGTCACCTATCACACTTGCTCTCTTTCCCAACAGGCTGGTTGAAGACTTTTAAACAGGAGACTAAATGAATAATAAAAGTGCCCAAGAAATATCTGTGTCTGTGCCAGCATGCTTTTGTTTTGTACAGGTATTCATCCAAAGCCTCATTCTGGCTCCAAATGAACAGGATTCAATCCATAAAGGAAATGTATTAACTTAATGCTTGTTCAAAGAAAAATGCTGCTTCCTTTAATGTTCATGTATATGGTCATAAACATGATCAAAACATGAGCCATCTGAAACCCTTAGAGCTGCCTTGTAAATAGGGTTGCAGTATGAACCCAAGAACATAACTGATTTTGTCACTCTAGGTTAATTTCAGCTTTCAAACACCACAGAAATCTTCAATTGCTTTTCTTCTCCTCACTGGTTTAACTTCAGATTACTTCCCCTGGAAAATGGCTTTTGATACTCAAGTAAGATCATATTGTTTGATCCAAAAGCACGTTTATTTTTTTACTGTTGTTTCCAGACTTCATTTATTGAAGAAGGTCCTCTCTGCAGCCAATATGTTCCTGGTAGCTGTTTGTTCCCGAAATAAACATCTAGCACAATTCTTAGTATTTGAGAGAGGCATTGCTTTCATTGCATAATCTTCTATGCAGGGGAAAAACAATGCAAAGAAAGACCTCGATCCTGCTTTCCTTGACCACCTAACAGTCCAACAGACTTCTCCATTCATTCATTCATTCATTCATTCATTCATTCATTCATTTTAGATTAGCAAGTTCAAAAAATGGGATTTCAGATTCCCTGTGCTGCAATTATTATACTTCTAGATGGATTATTTTGTTTCCTGGGGAAGGGCATACTATTATATAAGTATTCTTAATTTGAGGATTTATTCTACTGGATTTACCATAGCTACAAAAATAAGTCAAATGAAGTATTTTTTTCCTTTGTTATTGAAGTGTTATCAGTGAACACTTATAAGTCAGAGGAATGAATTCTAAATCATTACTCAGATCTGAAGATCTTGAGCTTGAAACATTAGGACGAGAGGGCTTAGTCTTGATATTTCTTTCTGAATGGAATATTAAATAAAAGCATTGCTATTCCAATGAAACATGCTAAGTGATGTTGATGCAAATTCAGGAACAGAGAGAGAACAGAAGGAGTTCATGGACCTCATTCTCTTTGCTTAAGCAGGAGAAACTAGTGAAGTTAATGGAATTACAGCGATATAAAACTGTAGTAAGGTGAGAATTGCACAACTTCTGTTTAACTAAATGCTATTACTTTAAAAACAGAGTTTACTTCACTAAACAATCTGCAAATAAACACAAAACAAAGGGCAAATGAGACATATTACAAGTAAGCATGCATGCCAAAAAGGTAAGTGCAAATTAGATTTGAATATTCATGAGTCACAAATCATTGACAGTTTGAAATAATGCAAAACAGCTTTATAAATGAGGTTAAAGCAAGGGACATCAAAGAAAGGCATTGCTAAATCAATAGCAATTTGATTGTGCATATACTTGTAAATTGTGGTTACAGTTTTTGTGACATGGGAGAAAAATACCGCACATGTAGTGAAGAAAGGACACATAAATATTCTTTTCAGATGTGTTATATTTTTGCAATTCAGCATGTACTTGGAGACCTGCCATGTATAAAGTGACCAGACATCATTTTTTAATTTTTCCCCCAAGAGAATTATAGTTTCCTTTGAGTATCCAATCTCTGTGTTGCTTAGTATAAAAAAAAAAAAAAAAAATCAGTTGTCAATAGTACCTGAACAGCAATACTGTAAAATAGAATAATTACTTACTTGACTTGTCTCAAGTAGAAGGATGACCTGCTAATTAAAGTAATGTCATAAAATCATAACCAGTGGAGGTTATCTACTTGCTTCAGATAATTTAGTTCTCAGAAGTGGGAATCAGATGAGTTGCAAGTCTCAGAGCAAACTGCTGGAGCATGGGGATTTAAAAGAATGATAGCTTGAAAGATGGCCAGCCTGACCATTTAAATGAGAGCTTCTTCGTTTTTTTGGCTGTAAGCGTCAATAAAGTATTGGATTTCCTGTCTTATTTGTGAATTCTGAGGATATTTGAGATTGAATGGTTTAAAATGTTGATGAGAACACAGAAACAACAGGCAAAACTGCCAGAAGTAATCTGCCTCTTTAAAATTAATCCCTTTGTTTTTCTTACGGGTTTATATTATTATTACTTAACACTCACTCTAATATACTAGCCGATTCTCTCTCTTCAATGTCCTTTACATCTAGAGAGATGTCCTTACTCTCTGGCATGACAGATGAAGCTTCACTGGGTCAAGTGAAGCTAAATATATACATTTACCAACACTGACAGCAAAACCAAGCAGGGATATTGTTTTGGAAATGGTATGGGGTACTCTGCTTCTTTAAGAAGTACATGAATTCTTGCAGTGCTGCCTTTAAAAGCATTCACTCACATGAATGAAGCTGGCAATTAACTTGTGTCAAAACATTGTAGAAGGAGAAACCCAGATGTCGAATAACTTAGAAAAGGGATAACCTCATGTCCTCCCCAATCCACTAGATGAGCTTGTCAGAAGCTGATGTGTCTCTCATGCCATCACAATATCGAAAGATACTTGTATGTGCCATGTTTAAATTCAGAGAGCTTTCTGCTATAAATTCTTTAAATCGGTGTATTCCTCAGCATGAATAAACAATAGATAAGTTAGAAATA